GCGGGCGAGAAAGTTGAGCGAGTCTCTTCGGCTGGTGGCATTTGGCGCGAACGGTTGTCTCTCGCGATGGGTCTGCCGTGGACGGCACCACGGTCCGCCTGCGGTAGGCCCACATGGTGAGTGAAGCACTGGCGACGCCGCCTTTTGTGTGCTCTTGTGTTCGTTATGTTGCTACAAGCTGAGTAATAGTGGGTAAAAATGTCCTAGCATGTTGATCACAACTGATGTATCGATTCGGCGGGCAATATCGTCGTTCTACATTATTTAAATAAATGTGTGCATTGTTTGGTTTGTTCTGACCGCGTATGCTGTGTCCGTTCACTCCAAGAGCGTGGTGCTCGCCTGCCAATTTGAGACCCCACACATTTCAAATATTAGAATGTAAATTATTAAACATTTCCAAGTATTCGAAATGAATGATTTAGTGTATGCAGTGATGCTACAGAGGACTTCCGAATAGGAACAATTTTTGGAGCAGCAAGAATATCATCTTGCACCACTCTGGAGCAGCTAATTTCGCATTTATGGAGTACACTGGAGAAACAAGTTGCATTTAGATTCAAGCACCTCAATAACTATTATAGGGCTCCTGTGAAGAGCTGGAGATATATCAATTCATTGCTAATCTTATGGATAAAATAGTCTCAGGAGCGCTCCATATTTCACTCGATAATGCAAAAATAAGGGCTTCATGCACCTCAGTGTTCTTGGATAACTTCTTCAACAATTTTGTTACTGATACTAGCAAATAAAAAAAATACTGCAGATTTAAAATTGTCCTTTATGAAACAACAATCTCTATACATCTAATGCAGCTCTATACATTAACATACTCATACCTACGAAGTTCAAGAATTTTGAATCCGGAATATTTCCACAAAGGGGGTTTGACGTGCTGGATATTTTCCTTTTTTTGTTGGCAACAAAAGAAAACAAAAAAAAAAGCATCGTGCAATAACAAAAGGAAGGGGGTTCCAATCGCAAAGGCCAACATCGGCGTTGCGGTACTATAATGGCTTGGTGTGGCCGAACACACAAGGTAGGTTTCTCACTAAGGTGAGAGCCTCAAAAAGGGAGCGCAAATGCTCCCTAAATTTCATGTCATCCAAACAACTAACAAAATTTATTTCCGTAAAAACAACTCGCATATATGCTCCTGAAACACATGTGAATGAACGGGGCGGTGCAGCTGGGCACCGTGAGAGCACGTGTCAAAGCTTTGGCTTTGCTCATTACTTTTGGACAGGAACACCGAAGTGCTTCTAGCCTTTTTTACGCCTTACTGCCTTTAATCTACCACTGCATTAGCCACATGCCTTTGGAGCTCGTAGATTACTATCGCACTGCCGTGCGGCAAGCTGTAGTTCCGATTTCAATCCGTTTGCATTAGCTGCGCACGTGCCTTCAAAACTAAGTCGCTTTATGCTATCTATGATCGCATCTGCCGAAGTCTTGTCCACAGAGGTTGCGGAAAGAAGTGTTGCTTTGACTGGTTGAGCATCAGACGCGTGCACACTTTCAGAGTACTGTCAGTAACGACGTCACCATAGATCGTGTCAAGAACGACCACGGATTCGTCCACAGCGGTTGTAGCAACAACCACATGCACTATAGAAGACAATGCATGCTGGTCGCACTCGTATTTCTCAAGCTTCGAGCACACTGCTCTCGGGCAGTGTTCGTTCGATACTATCAATACTGAAGTTCACATCACACGCCATGTTTTGGACCAGGGTTCAGAACATTCGAATTTGGCCCTATGGACAAAGTGTAACTTGGCTGGAGAATTTGGCAAATTCATATCTGCCATGGTTTCGCATCACTGAGACTACTGTACGTTTAGATGAACGCCTCTTAATGAACGCCTCCTAAATTCGTTCATAATAAAATGCGGTGGGTTCACGAAAAGCCTGGAGTGTACTGACAGGCATTTTTGTCAATGCGGCCAGATCACGCACAAAAATTTGATTTCCAGGACATTTTCATGACAACCATCAAACGAAAGAAACGGTCAAAATACGGGAGTCTCCCGGACGATACGGTAGACTTGGCAGGTATGCATACTTATTGTCATCAAAAATGACATTATCTTGATCAGCCAGAAAGCTCAATTTGTGAATCGAATGCTGAAATAATATTTGTTCAGCTAAAATGTCGTAGCAGTATAGGAGTTATAAACCTACCTCCTTTTTCAAACGTGAACGATCTTGTTATAAGCTTGAAAAAAATAACTGTACCCCTTGTTTCCTTGGATGGCCCTATAGTTGTTTGCGGAGATTTTAATAATGATCTTTCGAGGCATAATTGCTCTGAATATATTCCTACTGTAATCATTAAATCTAAAAAATGCCATGTCATCACCAACACATACAAGTTACAGTAAATCTCTCATAGATCACATCTTGTGTAATTCGAAATTGAGTGTACTGGCAGGTGTTCTTGATGTCACTGCAGACCACAACCCAACGTTTCTCTTACCTCGTAAATACCTATCCTCTACTAGTAATGCATGGAATAGATGATGAAATTGTGTAAATTATCCAAAAGTATGACGATTGCTTTGGTGTGTAGACTTTCGAAAAATTGGGGGACCCTTAAGCTTCGCCTTTAAGAGGTGAACACGATAGCGAAATCCGGCCCCTAGTGCACCTTTCAACCACTAAGTGCATACTTTTTAATATTTTGTTACACACGCACACAAACGCGCGTGCAAGCGTGACGTATCAATGGTAATGCAGTGACTGTGCAGTGTGGCCACTTCCCTCTGCTAACGGCACTCTGCAGTAATCGAGACACGTTTTTCACAATGTCTCACAGATGGCACACAGACACACACACACATGTGTGCGCGAATGGTACAGACAGGTTTTTGATCTATAGCAAGAGTCGCATGGCCTCTGAGATACACGCCATGCGCTCGCCATCTCGGAGGCCGTAAAGAGTCTCCCAATGCCTCACAGATGGCAGCACATTATCTAGTGTTTGCTGTTTGCTTGATCAACGCCTCTGGAAAGGCATGATATGTTTTCCGCTAGATGGACATAGTTGTCCATTTTTAGAGCTGTTTGAAAGTTCCTTTGTGTTTTTTGTGGCGATGGCTGCACTATCCCGGCCTTTTTCAACGCAGCTTTATGGTCTTCTAAATGCGCCTACAAATCACCAAATGGGCTCGTTTTCATCATCACACCTATCGAACAAAATGTGTTCAGGAGACTCCTCCCACTACATGGCATTTATGTAGTGTTTTTTCCCGAAGCAGCTGCAAGTAACATCGTGTCTTTGTGGTAGGACACCTGCTTGCCACGCCAACAAGCCGGCTTCGATTCTCAATAGGACAAAAAATTTTATTCTTTATTTTATTTCCTACTTTCTCGATTTTTCCCTCACAACCAAAGGTGCCGACACCGACAGCGAAATTTTTGTTCTGGGACACGAGCTCTCTAACGCTATCGTGTTGAAAGTGTTTGATTTGTACGATGTGCATGTTCAGTGTGAAGCAATTATTCGATGTATTAGCAATGCCATTAAGCAATCTGCACGAGCATATATGAGCCACAGTCACGAAAATCCAGTGTGTCCCTGGATAACTAACACTATACTGAATATGTTAGAAGTACAGACTCTTTTTTGCCGAAAATGGAAACACAATAAATCGAATTCACATTACAGGGAGAGCTTCGAATACTTCAGAAATAGCTCAGTGAGTATGATCCAAAAATCTAAAAAGCAGTACTACGCTAACTTTATTAAGAACGAAAGGGGGTAACAGAAAAAGATATGGGAAACCATTGAAGCTATAAGCAAAGGCCAAATACAGAGCATTTAACTGGATCAACTGTCGACGCAAGTAAGCTAATGATTTTATTTACTATTTTTTAAACATAGGAATAAATTTAGCTAATCAGTTTTTATCTACTAAGCCCACACCTGCGCTTCCTAGAAAAGCTGACAAGAACTTTCATTCAGAAGAAATAACCCATGACGAGCTCAAATACACGATAAGTAAAGTGTCTTTAAAAAAAGCTGCTGGTCATTATGGTATACCCACTAGAACATTAAAAGACAATATTGAGATTCTCTGCTGCCCCATATACCATGTATTTGCCACCAGCTTGTATTCAAATACACTTAAAACAGCCAAAGTCATTCTTGTGTTCAAGTCCAGAGATTCCGATCAACCAGAGAATGAATTGTTTCTTTTTATCAGTTTAAGATCTTGTCATACTGGCTTATAAGTCCTAAGGATCATAAATATTAAAATTAAAGATATTTCATCCGTTATCACAAAAAGTCAAATCCTGCTACAACTCAAGGTCCCTGCTAGTTCCTTTGAACCAAAGAGAATAACATTTGCACAAGCCTTGTTTCAATTAAAAAATTTATATTGTGCAGGTTAATTCGGTCATAAAAATTTTTTTCCTATTTTCTTTTCTAATCTGCAATATACTATACTATTCGAAATTGATTACACTATTTGAATTTGATTTGAAATTATTCAAAGTAAACTACTACTCACTTCGAATTCACTTGAAATCTTACTATTTGCAGAAGCCAAATCAAATGCAAAAACTGACAGTTGGCGTCAGCATCCGGCTGCATTGTCACGAACATGAGTGATGCAAAAAACATCATGTGATGATGTCACAGATTGCCAAAATTTATGACATCATAATGTTATGTAATGTGGAATCTCATGATGTTATCGCATGACATTTTCCCTTGATCAAAGGTGGGCCAATCACAAAGACAATGTGAGTGCAACAAGCTCTTGAACGACGAGGACGAGGTGGGTTCAATACGTCGACTGAGAGGATGGCCTTCGCCTTTGTGTTGTCTTAGGCGAGTCCAATGCAAACCCTGCGGATGTTATTTAGAGATCATGAAAAAAAATCTTGAACATCATCTTATCACTATAACATCTTACAAAGTTGTGAAACAGTTCTATGCAAAATAAAATGACTTAGGCAATACTTTTAATTAGGACACGAGACGCTGCTGACCTGAGTGAGGGGTCTCTTCTTGAGGCGTGAGTGCACTGCGCTGAGAGACACCTGACCAGGTGGCAATGGGGAGAGACGCAGCACTGCCGCTTCCAGTCGTTCATCCGACAGCAGAATCTCAACGAGACGATGCACCTGAAAGTTCATGCGGGCTTTCCTTACAAACAAGCTACCTGTGCAACTGGTGTCAGCCACATTGCAGCTAAATAAATCCAGCTAACATGATTTTAGCTTAACCACTGCCGAGAACACATCGAAATTTGGAACATCCCACTAGATCTTGCTAGGGGTGTGCAAATATTAGAAAATTTCATATAATGAAACAAATAGCGCTCTATTCGATTTCGTACTGAATCAAATAGCAAATATTCGAACTGCCGAAATAGCTTTTGAATAATCAGCAATGATAAAAAATCCTCAAAGGAATCTGACATAAGAACAGCCAGGGCTAACTCATCTTGTTTTCATCATCAAATTACTCAGATGCATGCAGCCCATGTACTTTACCATCAACCCTGCATTGATCACAGGATGAAGGCATTTTGCTTAAGACTCAAGTGTCGCCAAAGCAACAGTGCCAGCGATCAGCTACCTTCACTAAGACATTTATGATGATGTTAAATCATGATAATTTCTTAATATTTAAGCATCAGTTTTATTTCAAAGCTCTTGACAAGGTGCTACTTTAAATACTGTAGTCACAGCTATATTTCAGTTTGCTGTTCCAAAATATTTTGATTGATATGTGGGTTTAACGTCCCAAAACCACTATATGATTATGAGAGACGCCGTAGTGGAGGGCTCCGGAAATTTAGACCACCTGGGGTTCTTTAACGTGCACCCAAATCTGAGCACACGGGCCTACAACATTTCTGCCTCCATCGGAAATGCAGCCGCCGCAGCCGGGATTCGAACCCGCGCCCTGCGGGTCAGCAGCCGAGTACCTTAGCCACTAGACCACCGCGGCGGGGCGTTCCAAAATATTTTAAAGGCTCCACTTGCTGCTCAGTTTAAACGATTGTTGTCAGTTAAAAGTGCTTGTAATATTCTTTTGTTAGGCTGGTGAATATTTGTTTCAATTAAAATGTGCAATTCCTGGGCTCTTTTCCTTGACCTTCACTTGAATTCCTTGACCTTAACAGTCAAGGCCTTGTTGCCCAACTCTTCAAAAACAAATCGAGCAATATTCAAATGCATTTGTATTCGATTCAGTGTCATCACTATACGATTTGTATTCAATTCAGTTTTAAAATTCACTATTCGCACACCCTTACCGAATTTTTCTCATATGTGGTGCCCATGCACAATTTGATAAAATAGAAAATGGAGTCATTGTAATCAAGGGTGTCATAATTCAACTTGTAAGCTTGCTCTTATGCAATTGCAAACTGAAGCTGTTTGGCTTTTGTGCAGGCAGGTGACAGGTTTCGACAGCGTGCATTCATCAGACTTGATAGAGGGCAGCGTAACATCAGCCCTGACGATTTCCCAGGTTCCAATAGCAAATCATGGCAGTGAAAAGTGCACAATAGTTCTACTTTCAGTAATTACCCCTGTGCACTGGACCTGCATTTTTTCATAGTGTAAACTGTTATGGGCTCATCCCGATAGCCAATTTTGGTGGTAGCAATGTCATTTCCTGCTGCAACTGATGTCCATCCCAGCTGTTGCACACAGAGAGAATAAAGATACTCTTTGTTCCTCCTGAAATTGAACCTGGACAGTCTTTGTGAAAGACTGTAATCATATCTCTTGCAAAAAAAGAAAAAGAAAATGGTTGCACACAAACTACACTAGTACAAGAAGACACGAATGAGAAGACACAGCATGGCGCTCATCGTTGTCTCCTGTATAGTTTGTGTGCAACCATCTATTCCTTGCAAGTATGAATCAACTCGACCAGCAGCAGGTTTTATTGAATCTTAGCTCTGAGCCACACCAGTGCTTCAAATTGCTTTGAAAATGATCTTATACAGACATCCTGTCTTGCAAGCAAGGAGTCACTTGTGCGACTGTGTACACATTGCGTGATAGATGCTTATCGTTGTACCAGACGTCATGCTATGCGAAATGCATATAGTGAGAACGCTTAAAGCTACACAAAGTAGTTGGCCATGGTCTGTCATGATCATCAGCCACAGCACCAACAGTGCATTCAGTAATATATTGCCTTACAATAAGCCTCGAAAAAACTTCAAATGTCACACCATATGAATTGTGTAATGGGTGGGAGCTTCAAAACTGCCAAACAATTTAAATGGGCTGTGCTTAGAATTAATCTAATCAGCAGAAGTTGCATTCATAGATTACAAGAAGGCATTCAGGTCAGTAGAGATACCAGCTCATTGAAACGCACTGCGCTGACAAGGAGTACTTGCACCGTAACGTGACTACCATAGACAACATCTGCAGATTCGAAAGCTATTTGGCTGCCCCTCATGAAAAGCAAGAAAATCCTCATCGTTAAAAGGCTTCGACAAAAGGGTACAATCTCCCACAGCAGAGCTTAGCTTATGCTAAGGATAGTGGATCAGGCTTTACAAGATGGACACCAATACAAGAACAAATGCAGTTTGTATTAGCAATGATATGGTGAGATTTATTTCCATGACTGCACCCCATACACCCCACCAGCCAACCCCCTTGAACAAAGTTGCCTGAACAGCCCAGCACAAACGTGACAACGGCTCACCTCCACATCAATGCTCTCATTGCCAACAAATGGTGCCAGGGCGTTAATGATGACTGGAAGACTTCTTGCAGTTTCCTGGAATAGAGGCAGACACAAAAAGGAGCACAAAATTTAGGTCTACTGGCTTCCAGCTTTGAAATTTTCTTTTATCTTTTACAATGTGATTCTGTAAGCATGATGATCAGTGGTGTTTAATGGGTACGTATGACTAAAGGGCGCCAGAGTATATTGTAATGTGAAAGCACTAGTGGAATTAGTGAGAGCAGGTAAGTGGCTGTTTAGGCACCTATCACTATATTCACTGAACAGTTCTTGATTGATTGATATGTGGGGTTTAACGTCCCAAAACCACCATTTGATTATGAGAGATGCCGTAGTGAAGGGCTCCGGAAATTTTGACCACCTGGGGTTCTTTAACGTGCACCCAAACCTGAGCACATGGGCCTACAACATTTCGGCCTCCATCGGAAATACAGCCGCCGCAGCCGGGATTCGATCCCACGACCTGCGGGTCAGCAGCCTTAGCCACTAGACCACCGCGGCGGGGCTCACTGAACAGTTTGTAAGGCAAAATGCAACTTCAATAAAATCACTACAACAACACGAAAGGTGTGCAATGAATATAAAAGACATGCTAGAAAATAATCATCCAGTAAAGTATGACAGTTATAACCAGGCACTAAAACATCGCAAGGATTCTTACATACAAGCACCTGGAGGCATGTGCATAAAAATATACTATGCAGCAGGAACTTAGTCATATGCTTTCCAGGGATAAAATTAATAAATAAAACATACTATAAAAAAAAATGCACTATCCGAATTCACAAAATGTTATCAATTCATGCTTGAAAAGTGAAGCACTAATAGAGATTTTCAAAAAACTTCTACAGTTGCACAGAGCTTTAGGTTTGTGGTTCGCCCAGTGTTTATTATGTGCACTCAGTCAACTAAAAGCCGAAACAGTCAGGCCTCCATCTGCAACAGTGGCGCAAAGTGCGCGTGCTATCCTTTGCTTAAAAGGGTTGTGAGAAAGTCACTCCTAAAACGACACTGCGGAACTGCCGGCATCTACATGCACTAGTTAGGTGACATCAGCGTAAGTCGAGTAGACCTGCACGCTTTGCCTATCAAAGAACGCGGAACTCCACGGTACTTACGAGCGCATGCAATCAGGACACTGATCATTGCCATACACAATCCTTGCTAGCTTGAACTTTGCAGCTGACATCATATTAAGTAGCATTATTGCGGGACGCAGCTCACGTATGGCAAAGACGCCAATGAGCGCCTGTTGAGCGTTCTTGCAGACGCCGTAGAGTTCCCAGTTTGCCATTAGGCAAAGCGTCTACGCAGGTCTACACAGGCTGATGTTTTAGTTAGCGCGTGTGGCTGCCGATGATGCCCCATTGTCGTTATAAAGCGACCTTTTCCCGGCCCCTTTGAATATTTAAGTATGGCACATCCCCATGCAGACCCCGTGAAAATCATGTAATACATGACATGCATTAAAACTGCCATTCCTTTATTTTGCTACAAGCAGATGCCTAATCTTCAACACATCCCAAGCGGCATGCAGGCCATGTTATGATCAGCCAAATATATTGTAATTCACTCACATCAACAGATTACAAGACTACGTAACGTCCGTGCCCAAGCCAAGATCACTGGTCGAGCAAACTCGCGAGTGCACACCATACCGCTTCAATGCTTAATTAACAATGCTTTGAAGAAGTGTATATTCAGAACCAGTGTTTATTATGTGCTTGTTGATACTATTTTTGCACGAGATTTACGATACACTACGTTCAGTTAACAAGCTACCCTAATGCTTAAGTCATGATCATCATGGACACTAGTTGTCCCGATGGAGATATGGCACTAGGCATCATGGTGGGTGCATAAACGTCAAACAGTGCTATACCTGTCAGATATGAACAGGCATTATGCAAGATCTCACAAATCATTACAAAATAAGCACTAAATTTGTGAAGACATGTCTCACCTTTGGGTAATACCGATTCTTGTGACATAGGAATCAGGCATGTTTTTATTAAACAGCATAGACTTTTTAGTATGCAAGTCACTGGTACTGTGCTATCACCAAAACAACACTGTTGCAAGGCTGGCAAAACATGACAAAGAGACAGCCGTGCTTTTCCGACCATTCAGGCCATACGACTGGGATGTAAGTTTGCATGCGCCTAAATTTGAAAATATTAAATGGTTAGCATCTGTGGAACTGCGGTGTCAACATAACGAACGCGGGAAACAAAATAAGCTGAAATGAAAAGACACCAACTAACTTTTCAGACCCCCCCGTTCATGAGGACTTCGCCATAATACCACAATGAGCAGAAACTACGCATAAAACAGCAATTGGAATTTCTGCATGCTTTCGATTTTCTGGGAGCATGTTCAATGTCAAAATCAGTGGCAACCACGAACTGCTACGTAGGTGTTACACACACAGGCCTCCCATTTTTGTTGAAAATTGTAAGCCACCCTTTTTAAATGCAACAAGTGTGACATGATCCGTTGACTCCACGCCAATCCACAACTTCATAGTTTGCGGACACTACCAACGATGCAGCTAGTGTTTATTAGGCCTAGCATGTAGATTGCAATGTGGCATGCTGTCGCGAGACGCTTGCTGCAGGAAGCACAGAGAGTGGGTGTAGAAGAGATTGCACTCACAAACCGAGACTCTCCGAATTGCGGAGAAAAAGTTGTAGAGGATTCCTAAACATATTTTTATGAGATATACAGTTGAACCCTGCTACAACGAATGCTGCTTCAAGGAAATTGCCACAACGAAAAATTCTCGCCGTGACTCTTTTTCTGGCGTTCCACTTCAACAAAATTTGACAACGCGATTCCCACCTCCCGTATTTATTGTCGTGCAGTGAACTGTGTGGAAACATGCGTGACTATGCTTTCTTTCCCTTTAAAGCAGCACTGCAGTCTTGCTGCGAGGACACATCGGTGCCTCCCAAAACAGAGACAATGAAGCCTTCTACGGAGGGCCATTCATCCCGCGGCCAGCGCGCACTAGTCCCCCTTCCCAGGTCGCCGAATGGGTTGCTTTTCCTCGACAGGGAGGCAAAGAAGAGGGAAATGAGAAAATGAGCAAAACGAGAGGGCAAGGACGAGCGATCTCCAGAATCCCTGTGAGCCAAGGCGACAGACAAATGGTGTAAGCCTACCCTTCGTTATCTCAATTAAGCGGACAGTCCCTCTACGCAAAATTCATGCGTTTTGCTATCATCATCATCATCAGCCTGACTACGTCCACTGCAGGACACAGGCCTCTCCCATGTTCCACCAGATAACCCCATCCTGTGCTTGCTGCTGCCAATTTATTGGCAGCAGCAAGCACAGGACTGGTTTATAACCGCAAACTTTTTAATCTCATCTTCCCACCTAATTTTCTGTCTCCCCCTAGCCCGCGAGAATGTATTCAATGTGACATTGAAACGAATGCTGCAAATAGTGCCCTTCTATATCGGTAAATCTTGGAGTAAAACTTGAAGTGCTCTCTAAGTGCCGGTGAAACAGTTGGACATTCTAGCCTACAGCAATGGTGCAACTCCGTCTCGAACTTGTGCGTTTGAACTTCAACCTGGGCAGACATTGCACCGTATGAATGTAAGCAACCAAAGTGTCTATCTGACACCGGCTTGCCTTCTCTGGGAATACAGTTAGTTACCCTTAATGACCAGCGGTTATCCTGTCTACGCGTTACATGCCTGGCCCATGTCCGTTTCTTCTTCTTGATTTCAACTATGATATCCTTAACCCCCGTTTGTTCCCTAATCCACTCTGCTCTCTTCTTGTCTTTTAAGGTTACACCTACCATTTTTCTTTCCACTGCTAGCTGTGTCGTCCTCAATTTAAGCTGAACCCTCTTTGTAAGTCTCCAGGTTTCTGCTCCACAGCTAAGTACCGGCAAGATACAGCTGCTCTATAACTTCCTCTTGAGGGATAGTGGCAATCTATCTGTTACAATTTGAGAGTGCTTGCCAAATGTTATTGCTAACGTAGCATTAAAGTGCTTTGTGACGACAGAAAATAGCGCAAAGAAACGGGGACACAAAACGAGGACACACGGCACAGGCGCTAGCGCCTGTGCCGTGTGTCCTCGTCTCGTGTCCCCGTTTCTTTGCGCTATTTTCTGTCGTCACAATGCACCAACAAGCCCAAATTTCGACAGTATTAAAGTGCTGTTTTGTTGCACTTATTTGCCAGATACTGTCGTAGCTAAGATGACTCGAGTCCCGGAAAGAAGACATTAATCGTGCACCGGCGCAACAAAACGATTTTTGACCACGGCTACCGATACTTCCAACACCGCCGCGTGCACCGATTCAGGCGGCCATACACTCTTTTCAAGTTTTTCCACGTGCGAGTTTTGCAGACCTTTCAAGCAAGCTACCCAACCTGCCTCCTTCACGTGTGATTTGGTTTTCAAGGTTGCCCTCCCGCCGCATCCTCCCCTCTCTTTATCGCAACTCCTTGCCCTTCTCTCGCAAGTGTGCTCTCCTATCTTGATCACAACCCCTTGACCCGTCTCTACCGCTACGCGACGCCTGCCATGCTGGCTCGAATTAGTTTAGTTTTCTGACTGGAAACGGGCCCAGAGCTGTTCTACGCGTTCTGGCTTGCGTGTCGCGTGTACGCATCTTGCTCGCTCTTGGTGTGCGTGTGTGGTCATGATGGCCGACGGGAGGACTTGCACGCTTTTTCCTGCCGCTCAACAAAACGTGGAAAGTGTGACCGCGTGGCTTGAGCGTAATCCGCGCGTTAGGTGCCGCGTTGCGGAGCACTTGCTCATAGCTGTTGACCACCAAGCAGCCAACTTGCCGCTTCAGGCGTCCCGGTATTCAGCTGTCCAGATGGTAAATATTTCATAGGCGGCGGTGATGACTCCATGCTTGCAAAACCGTTTTCGCGAGGCCGACTTCGTCGATGTCGGGCCCGGTGCCGAGTCTGAAGCTTCCGAACTGCAGCGGCGATTTGTGGCAGCGCGTCGCCGACTCCGACCTGGTATAGCGGGTGGGACATCTGTTTCGATG